GTAGTCGCCTTGAGGGCGAGAGGGGCGGGGCATGGAAGACGGGAGGGGAGGGGCAGGCAGGAGGTTCTGTCCCCAGGCCGGCGGAAACGCAAGGTGAGGCGTCTGTAGCCAGAGCCGGGACTCGGAATCCCGAGACCCAGGTACTCGGCTGTCTGCCCGCTGTGGTCTCCGCTTCCTCTTCTGCGAGCCAATGGCGTTAAAGCCGATCCGAGGGTCTTCGTAGCGCCCTCCACCTGCTTTACAGCTGTGGTCCCGTTTACTCCCGCTTTTTATTGGGGTCTTCTCTGCACAGGCTCCTGCGAACAGAGCAGGCGCTGCCTTCCTGGCCCTTACACTCCAGCAGGGGGACAGGTGGTACACAGGCTAGTGCACTGGGTGGGAGGAGTGGCAGTCATGGAGGTGCTGTGGGGAAAAACAGAGCAGGGAAAAGGGGGAGAAAGGGTGGGCTTTTGTCTCTGGGTGGTCAGGGCAGTCTCTGGGGCAGGGGAGGCTGAGCAGGGGCCTGGAGTGAGGAAGGAGCCACTGGGCATCTGGGATAAGCACCTTCCAGCAGCGGGAGCAGCGCGTGCAAAGACCCTGTGGCATGAGCATGCTGGCCAAGGGAGAAGAGGAGGAGGCAAGGGCCCTGGAGGGGGGGATGAGGCAATGGGGAGGGATGAGGCCAGAAGGAAACATGGGCGGACATCAAGGGGCTGCTGTGAGGCCTCCGGGCAGCCTTTGAGAATCTGAGCAGAGACGGCTGTGATTTGACTTGAATTTCATCAGGACCAGTCCGGCTGCTGTGTGGATTCCAGTTCTAGAATTTTCCCCTACAGGCCTACAATTCTGTCTGAAACGTGTGTGCAGCACTTGGTCTACACCTGCACTGTCCAGTATAGTGACACCAGCCCCACGGGGCTGTTTCAGTCCACACTAAAGTCAAATGAACGTAAAACTTCATGCCTCAGTCACCCCAGCCACGCTCCAGGTGTTCAGTGGGCACTTGTGGCTGGTGGCTGCTGAACTGGACAGCACATACACTTGCAGAACTATGAGTCAGCATTGGCCTGGAGGCCCACCCTGTCCCTGCCTGTCAGGTTGAAGGCTGAGCAAGGCAGGGGCAGGCAGGGGCCTCTAGCTCAGCCAGGGAGCCCCTTCGGATCTTTCCTTGGGACGGGGGTGAGTTTCACAAGGAGGCAGGACCACCGAGAGACTGAACGCTCAGGGAGATGGAGGGTGGGCTGGCACAAGCTGGCTGACCTTAGCCACAGCAAGGCAGAGGCTGGGGGTCCCTGTGCTGGATCCTCCTGGCCAGACACCCTGCCCAGGACAGTGACTGTCCCCCACCCCGGGCCCTGCTAGGTGGAAGGGGTTGGGTCTTACTAGTAGTGCAAAGTGCTGCCCAATCCCTGGCCTCTCGGCCACCAGGCGGTGGCAAGGTCTCAGTGGGGTCTTTTCACCTGTGACTGTCCACAGCAACACCTCCTTGGGGTGCTGAGGCATGGAGGAGACCACACAGGCAGAGTGGCTGCACCTCTGTGTCCCCCAGACTGTGGACACCCAGGGCTGTGTCCTGGTGCCAAGATGAGGACTGGGGGGAGGGGGGAGCGGGAAGGGAGGAGGGTGAAGCTGGCTGCCCAGAGCAGAGTGGTTGAGGCTGCTCATCCTGGGCTGCTGCCTAACCACAGAACGTTCCAGAATTTGGTGGGGAGGGCTCTGAGGAGGGAGACCCTTTGGATTAAACGTGGAGGAGGTGAGGGGGATTTAGAAGACGTGGGTGGGGGGCAGAGCAGAGATGCTTCAGCCTCTTGTGAGGGGAAAAAGGGGACCCCATGGGGCAGGATGCCTGCCCTGAGCCTCCGGCTCTGGACTTGGGCTCGCCAAGCACCTCATTTCTTCTCCCGTCCAGGTCGGGGCCAGCGGGGTGCCCAAGGGCTGGGCCAGGGTCCCAGGGGGACCTGACGCCAGGCCACTGCCGTGCTGACCCTGCTCTCTCCACGCCCAGGAGGATGGCAGGAGCGAAGGCCCCCTGGAGCAGGCAGCCTGGCGGTACTCCCAGGCCCACCAGGCCATCCTGGGCCCCTTTGGGGAGTTGCTGACCGAGGACGACCTGGTGTACCTGGAGAAGCAGATTGCCAACCTGCAGCTGCGGCGCCGCTGCCAGGAGTACGAGAGCGAGCTGGGTCGGCTGGCGGCTGAGCTGCAGGCCCTGCTGCCCGAGCCCCTAGTCAGCATCACCGTCAACAGCCACTTCCTGCCCTGGGAGCCGGGGCCAGAGGGCGAGGAGGCCGAGGCCCCAGCTGTGGTGCTGCCTGAGGGCAAGGTGGAGGTGGCGGAGGCGGCCGCCGTGCCAGGCGGGCAGCCCCTGCCCTTCTGGTGCAGCCACATTGCCCGGCTGGTGCGCAGCATGTCCCTGCTGCTTCGGGGCGTGAACGGGCTGGTGCGAGGCGAGGAGCAGCCAGCCGCTCAGCCCCCGGACGCAGCCCCCAGGGAGGCCCTGGCCAGCCCCCAGCACAGCACGGCCCAGCGCGAGATCCAGGAGTGTGGGGTGTCCGTGCGGACGCTGCGTGGCAACTTCGAGTCCAGCCTGGCTGGCCCACCCTGTGCTCCAAACCCGGGGTCCTGTGAGCTGGGGGCCCGGCCCGGGCAGTGCCTGAGAGGCTGCTGGGTGGCCCCTCCGCAGCCCCACCGTGGCCCAGTGGGAGGGGAGCTTGGGCCGGGTGACACTGAGGAGGCCAGCGACTCGGGCATCAGCTGTGAGGAGGCCCCGTCAGAGGCGGGCATGGCGCCAGGCCTGGACCTGGCCAACCTGCGCAAGGAACGCATCGTCATGCTGTTCCTCAGCCACTGGAAGAAGTCAGCCTACACACCCGCCCTCAAGACCGCTGCCTGCAGGACCCTGGAGGCCCACCGCGCCCAGGGCCCCCGGCCGCCCTCCCCCCCACCCAGCGAGGGCCCGCGCCTCAGCCACCTGTGGCAGCAGCACAGCATCATCGCCCACCTGCTGGGCAACTGGAAGGCCATCCTGGCTCGCGTGCCCGCCCGGCGGCTGCGGCGGCTGAGCCGGCGGCCACACGGCCTGCTGTCACCCGAGCAGTTCCTGCCACACGTGGACGGGGTGCCGGTGCCCTACGGCAGCCTCACACTGGACCTCTTCATGCTGGGCTACTTCCAGCTCCTGGAGTGCGATCTGCCGCCTGAGGAGCGCAAGATGCGCCACCTGCTGTGCTTCGAGGTCTTTGAGCACCTGGACGCCCACGGCTGGGAGGCTGTGCGGGCCTTCCACAGGGCTGTGACCGACGAGGTGGCTGCCGGCCGCCGCGCCTGGACCGACGGCTTCGAGGACATCAAAGCCCGTTTCTTCGGCCCCTGCCGGGGCCCCACCTGGGACACAGAGCCTGGCCGCAAGTCAGGCCTCACCACACTCAGGCCACTGCCCCCCGCTGTGGCGCCCAGCAGTGGCCCCGATCCTGAAGTCCAGGGTCCAGGTGCCCGGCGGGGCAGCTTCAGCAATGAAGACATCTGTGGCTACATCGGCAGGAGCTTCGCCTTCTGGAAGGAGAAGGAGGCCGAGATGTTCAACTTCGGAGAGTGAGCAGGGGCAGCTGCCTCCGGGATCGGGGATGGGGTTTGGGGTGCAGTCCGTTCTCGCTCACCCTCTCCTTCTTCACGCCCCCTGCTGGTCAGGTAAGTCCCAGGCATGCCTGGGAGTTACCTCGCGGGCTTGGTTGCCCCGTGCAGTCCTGCACCTGTGACAGGTGCTGCTTGCTTCTCCTGGACTCAGGTTCAGAGAGCCCTCCCTACAGAATCCCACGAGCCCCCTCAGGCTCTCAGATCCGGCGCCGAAGTTGAACGACTCCTCGTCCCAGCCCCGGGGCCTCTCCACAGGGTCACCCACCTGGCTGTCCAGCGCGTCTCCCAGCCCATGGTTCCCATTTGTGATGCGTTAGCTGCTTCACGTCCCGTTGAGCATCCCGTCCCTGTTTCTCCCATGCTGGGGTCCCCACCCTGTCTGGAACCTCGGTCCAGCCTCCACTGAGCCAGGCTGCTCCAGGCCCTGGTCCCTCCTCTGCGCTTTCTGTGACCTTGGGCCTCGCCCTTTCGCCTCCCCAGGATTCTCTTTCCCCATCTGTGATGGGAAGGCTCGGGGTGGAGAAAAGGGGACCCCATGAGCCAGAGGCCTCCTTCCAGACCCGACGGCCCTCCTGAATCCTCTGGGCCAGGGAGATGGCCTGTACTGATGACCACGCCGGTCACAACAGTTACCCCCCACAGACAGGTGGCTGCCACCCTGGCAGGCCAGAGCCCACCCCCGTCCCCTGGGGGCTCGCTGTGGAGAGAGATCCCTGTTTGCCTGGGAGGAGGCCTGTCCCCCCAGCTAACCCCCTTGCAGGCTGTGGGAGCAGAGATGTAAAGAGCCCCCGTGGGGGAACAGGGGCTGGTGCCGGCCCTCCAAGACCAGCTGCTGGACCCCTAGGAGCCAGGACTTCATGTGGGCCCGTTCGTAGCACTCACAAAGCACCCTGTCCAGCTGGGTCTGGGCTCCGGGTGCTGAGGGGCTGAGGACAGGAAATGAGTTCTGCCCTCAGAGCACCCCGAGAACAGGGCAGCCGGCAGGGAGCCCCAAGTGGCTGGCCTACTGCTGGTTTCAGCCCCGAGGCTCCGAGGCCTACCAGAGTCCCCAGGGCAGCCAGGGGGATGGGCCACCACAAGGCTGTGGGGCCCCCAGAGGGCGGGCCAGAGTCCAATGGGAACTGGGGGGAGGGGGCTGTGCCACTGTGAGAAGCACCCAACAGGCAGTGTGTGGTGAGGAGACTTCTGGAATCTTCCACTGCCTCTGCCTTCCTACAGCCAGGTCCACTTGGGACAGAGACGGGTTCGATGCAGGGACAGATAAGCTCCCTCAGGCTTCAGGAAGGCCTCTGCGGTGTCCCACCTCACCCACAGAAAATGGGGGGTGCTGGGGGTGGAGAGAATAGAATCCTGGCCCTAGAGGTTGTCCGGACAGAACTTGGAGGGCAGCGGCCTGGCTGTTGGGTGGGGGCAGAGCAGAGAGCCCACCCCCCTGCCCTGCTGTCCCAGCAGGGAGACTCGGGGGTCCCACAGGAGGGACACTGGGGTCGAGGAGATAGAAAGGTGGGTGGGGGGTGCTGCCAGGACCGGGAGAGGGCAGCACCAGCTCCAGGAAGACCAGCCAGTGCCTCTCTGCCCAGGGGCTGCTCTGGGGGTGGTCACGTGGCCTGGACCCTCTGGCTTTCTCCGCTACCGCGGACCCTCGAGGGCGAGCTGAGCTGGCTGTGAGTTTGTGAAATAGACACCTGTTCCTGGTGATGCTTACTCGGTGCCCCTCACTCGCTGGCCCACAGGGGAGTCACCTGTGCCCGTGGGGGTCCCGGCCACTGCGGGGCAGACCAGTCCACATCTCAGCTCCACGTGGACACTGGTGGCACAGCCCTCAGCCACCGGAGCCTCCACTTTCTCATCTGTTACATGGGGGTGCAGTGCTGACCTGTGGATCAGGCAGTGGGAAGGTGCTCAGACCCTCGCCGGCAGCAGCCAGTGTCCCAAAGTCCCAGCGAGACTCCGGCAGCTGTGACGCCCTGACCCCAGGGTAGGGAGGCCCTGGCTCTCGGCCTGAATCCCAGCAGACGCAGACGGATGGCTGGTCCAGCACTGGCGCTGTCCGGGGCTGGCAGGGAGCAGCCGCAGGGTGGGGCCAAGGGAACCCTGGGCTGGGGTGACAGAAGGTGTGAAGTGCTCCAATGCCACCCACAACAGACCCCTCATACGCCACCTGCCAGACGGGTGTTGTTCCCAGGGCCCAGCAAGGGGTGGGGGCGGGTGTGGACAGAGATCACTTTCTGGCCGGGGTGCTTGGGGAGAGCACTGGGCAGGGCGTCAGTCCTCCTGGCTCAGGGCGTCCCCGTGGCTCGACAAGGCTGAGGGCAAGTCTCTCCATGGCTTTGGGGTCTCGGTTTCCCAGCTGAGGGGTCAGACCACGTGGGGCTTGCGGCCGGGATGGGGCGGGTGGTGCTCTGGGGTTCCAGGGGGACGGGTCAGGTGGGGCTGCCAGGTGAGGGTGGGGGTGGCTCAGATTCAGCCTTCTGGCCTGGAAGGGGGGAGTGGGCACTCTGCTGGGGCAGAGGGGGACCCCTGGAGGGGGGAACAGGCACTCCGCTGGAGAGATGGGGACCCCTGGAGGGGGGAGCAGACACTCTGCTGGGGCAGAGGGGGACCCCTGGAGAGGGAAGCGGGCGCTCTGCTGGAGAGAGGGGGACCCCTGGACGGGGGAGCGGGTGCTCTGCTGGGGAAGACAGGGACCCCTGGAGGGGGGAGCGAGCGGACACTCTGCTGGGGCAGACGGGGACCCCTGGAGGGGGGAGCAGACGCTCTGCTGGGGCAGACGGGGACCCTGGAGAGGGGAGCAGGCGCTCTGCTGGGGCAGTCACGGGGACCCCTGGAAAGGGGTGCAGACACTCAGCTGGCAACCTGCAGACACCCTGCTTCCAGGGACTTACACAAACACGGAGCTGCCCCCAGGGATTCTGGTCCCTTGGGCTGGGGCAGGGCTGGGAAGGCTGTATTTTTTACGTCGCTCCAGGTGATTCTTGTGCTCAAAGACCCGGCCCAGCAGCAGCGGCTCACCCATGAGGAGCAGCTGTCCCCAGGGAAGCAGGGGCTGACCGCACTCTCGGCTGTGAGGCCGGGTTGGTGCCTCTAAGTCATCTCATCAGCAAACACTCCTTGGGGACCCAGAGCCCCAGACACACGTCCTGGAAGCTGCAGGGACTTTAGTGAGAGAGACAGACTGAGGTGCAAAGCCCAGGGCTGGAAAAGGGAGCCTCTTCCCCTGGCCCAGACAGGAAACGGCTGGTCAGACCGCAGACATGATGCTGTTTCATCGTCAGTGATGAGAATACACCTCCTAAATCAGTGTGCTGGTTTAATCCCAAATCCTGCTTTTTTTTTTTTTTTTTAATGACCCTAAAGCTCATTCGAAAGGAAAAATGCACAAAGCCAGCTGTGGTGGCCAGACTCTAAGAAGGCCCTGGTGACCCCTGCCTCCTGTTGGTCACAGCCGTGTGTTGTCCCCTCCCACATCGTAGCAATAAAATGACAGAGGCCGTGGGTGTCATCTCCACTTGGTTATAAAAGACACTGAGGCTTCCAGGGGAAGCAGCTGCCACGTGGGCCGCCGTCCGAGGGAGGGGCTCACGTGGGAGGAACTGAGGACTCTCGCCCCCAGCCCCAGTCCAGCCTTCAGATGACTGCAGTCCTGGTGACCCCTCAATGAACTCCATGAGATCCTGAGCCAGAACCCCAGCTAACGCGCGCCTGGGTCCGTGACCTGCAGAAACCACGCTAGATAATAAATGCTTGTTGTTTTAAGACACTAAATATTGCTGTAGTTTGTTATGTAGCAGAAGACTGATACAACAGACCAGAAAAACTGAAATCAAAGAGGCGTTTCGTTCCAGATATGAAAATATAGAGCAATGGTAAACCGAACAGTGTGATCTCTGACCAACAGATCAGAATAGAGAAAGCCGAAACACTTCTCACACAGAAGGCGTTTCCGTGGGAAAGAAGGAATGGTCAGTGATGGTGCTGAAGGCAGTGGTAAACTGTTAAAAAAAAAAGTGTGACCCAGTACCCGTAATAAACCCCAGATAGAGTACGAGATACTGAGAACAAGGAAAGCCGTAAAATGCCAGAAGCAAGGGTGGCAGTTTTACCTCCTGCTGGAATCCCCGGGGGAGCCCTAGTGGCGCAGTGGTTAAGTGCTCATCTGCTAGCCAAAAGGTCGGCGGTTCAAACCCTCCAGCTGCTCCGTGGGAGAAAGATGTGGCCGTCTGCTTCCATAAAGATTACAGCCTTGGAAACCCTCTGGGGCAGCTCTACTCTGTCCTGTAGGGTCACTGTGAGTCAGAATCGACTCGATGGCAATGGGTTTGACTATTTGTTTTATTTTATATTTACTTATATATTAAGTTATTCTTATATTTGTTTTATTTATACTTTCATTTCTTTTTTAACATATTTATTTTATATTCTTAATTATAGTAATTTTATTTATGTTTATATCTATATTCGTTTTTCTTTGTATTTATTCATTTGTTTTTAGTACTGTGTATTTTTATTTTTTTACTTTTGAATTTATTTTAATTTTTAGTTATTTCCATATTTATGGTCATACTTTTATATAAGAGTATGTATAGTTATATTTGGAGCCCTGATGGCGCAGTGGTTAAGCGCTCAGCTGCTAAAAGGTCAGCAGTTCGAATCCACCAGCTGCTCCTTGGAAACCCTGTGGGGTAGTTCTACCATGTCCTGTAGGGTGGCTATGAGTCGGAATCAACTCAGTGGCAGTGGGTTTGATTTTTGGTTTATAGTTAAATTTAAGGAGCCCTGGCGGCACAGTGGATAAGTGTCGGCTGCTAACGAAAGGTCTGTGGTTTGAACCCACCAGCTGCTCCTCCGGAGAAAGATGTGGCAGTCTGCTTTCTTAAAGATTACAGCCTTGGAAACTCTATAGGGCAGTTCTACTCTGTCCTACAGGGTCACTATGAGTTGGGTTTGGTTTTGGTTTGGAGC